TTTTAAAGAAAAACTAGCCCTCTATAATATTGTGCTTTATCAAAATATGGAGTCATAACATAGTCAAATAGAATGTTTACCACCTCGACAATTTATGCAAGATGCTTTAACGCTGCGATCCACTTCATTGTGCTGCTTCCTCTGCTGTGCCCGCCTTGGCCACTGGGTGGCAGTGCAGTGCTAGTCATGCAGTCACAAAAAAAAAAAAGAATAGACTTCTTCTTCTCCTAAAACTCGTAAGTGTGTTTCTGTCATTTTATGAAGAGGAATATTTTGAAAAATACAGTGGACCCCCACTATTTGTGGCCTTTTTAAAAATATATATTTTAAATATATTCTTTTTAAAATTGCTTTTTATTGTTTTCTACGGGAGCTGACCCCTATTTGGTTAAGAGTTTTTCATTCCACGTTAGCATTAAACTAGCGTGAACAGTTTTTAAGGCATTGTAGGTTGCTCGTTTTAAGTATACGTCATGTAATTTTCTTTGTTCAATGTTTAGTTTGACAGTACATTTCACCCTGTATCTCAAATGTTTACTTACTTAAAATTATTTTAAAAAACAAAACAAACAAAAAAAAAAACGGTTCACTTCATCGGACGACGTTGGATGTGTGTTAGGTCGTCCTTAGTGGAGCTGGAGAAGGGAATTAAGGGGTTGGTGGTGATGTCATCCAGCTTGGAGGAGACCTTCAACTGCATGTACGACGCCAGGGTCCCGCCACTTTGGGAGAAGGTGACACACAGCACATGTGATGTACACAATGACTTCTTCTCGACAATGATGTGTACTTTTTTTTTTCCTCTTTCCCTCCTATTTCGCTTACTCAACCTCCGCTATTAAAAATGGATCTGGGCCTCACTCAGGTGGCGCACATGAACCAACAAAGCCAGCATCTGTGGATCTAATCGCAGAGTAATAAGCAGCTAAAGCTCTTAAGGCCGGCCCCTCTTTCCGAAAAAGACCCTGAGCTTATTGAGCGCCGGCCAAAGGGCTTATTACTCTGTGTGTGTGTGTGTGTGTGTGTGTGTGTGTGTGTGTGTGTGTGTGTGTGTGTGTGTGTGTGCGCATTCCATTTTATAGGAGCACTGGACAGCTATTAGCTCTGCTGCCTCCAGCTTAGCTTCTCTCTTTTTAACTGACTGCTTGCATGCCAGAAAGCTCTCCAGTTCGTTTCTCACCGCCATCTCTTGCTTTTTTTTTCTCTCTCTCTCTCTTTTCATTTTCCCTCTCTCTCATCTGTGCACTCATCTGGATCACGCAGCGATATTAATGATAGCTTGACTGTCCTACTTAGGCATCCATGTGGTCCTTTCCTTGTCACGTTTGATTGTTGTTTTAACTCCGAGCAAGCGAGCAAACAAAGTTGATGAAAAGTGACGTGGTCTCGGTCCACCAGGCCTACCCCTCTCTCAAGCCCCTGGCAGCGTGGACTCGCGATCTCTGCCAGCGCGTTCTTCAGTTTTCACGCTGGGCCGAGCAGGCGCAGCCCCCCAACTTGTTCTGGCTTTCCGGTTTCACCTTCCCCAACGGCTTCCTCACTGCCGTGCTACAGTCAGCGGCCCGGCAAAACAAGGTGACAGTCGGTGTCACTTTATTGTTTTTCATATCTTTTTAATGAGGAAAGTTTCACTCGACGTTATTGCACTTCATAAAAACATCGATTAATAACATCATGAAATAGTAAGTAACGAATTAAACAATTTAGGATTTCATGTTTCCATTCATTTCATTGTGCCACTCCTTCTGGTGTGCCCGCCTTGGCCACCGGGAGGCAGTATAATACATAATGTAGTCACCAATGCTCTCAGGGATTCCCTCCGTTGCAATACTATGAATCTTTTTCACAGAGGATAAAAAATATATGCCTTAGTCACCAATGCTCTCAGGGATTCCCTCCGTTGCAATACTATGAATCTTTTTTTTCACAGAGGATAAAGAATATATGCCGAACAGGGGCACGCTTAAGCAAAGACGTTGGTTGTTTTCATCTACACACTGTGTAACAAATTAGCCTGCTTTGCAGACACTCCCGGAAGAATCCGTTTCCCTTGTAGATGAATACAATATCCCTCCATCTTGGTGTCGATTTATCGTTTCCAATAAAATCCAGCGTCGCGCTATTTAGCTCTGCCTTTGCTATCTACACACTGTGTAACAAATTAGCCTGCTTTGCAGATACTCCTGGAAGAATCCGTTTCCCTTGTAGATTAATACAATATCCCTCCATCTTGGTGTCGGATCTATCGTATCCAATAAAGTCCAGCGTCGCGCTATTTAGCTCTGCCTTTGCTACGTTGACAACCTGCGCCTACTTTTTGCAGGTCTCAGTTGACACCCTCTCCTGGGACTTCACAGTATCCAGTCTTGAGGAGAGCCACATCCAGAATCCACCCAAGGTGATTGATTCAAGACGTTTTTGGTGTGTTTCAGCCACCATCTTGCTGTCTTCATCAATCAATGCCAAACCGGTTGTCTGTCGAACCTCCAGGATGGCGTTTACGTGCGAGGTTTGTACCTTGAGGGGGCCGCCTGGGATAAAAAGGCCACCTGCCTGGTGGAGGCCGAGCCCATGCAGATGGTGTGTCCTATTCCCGCCATCAACTTCAAGCCAGTGGAGAACCGCAAGAAGATGGCCAAGAGTGAGGGCGTTTTTGTTCCGACTTGTCGCTTGCTCATTTTGCAAGCGCCTGAATTGTGTCACCTCTCTGCTTTGTAGACATGTACCTCTGTCCTTGCTACTACTTCCCCGTGCGATCGGGCGGCGCGGGCAGAGCTTCCTTTGTGATCGCCGTGGAGCTGAAATCCGGCAACGTCAATCCGGATCACTGGATCAAAAGGGGGGCAGCGCTCCTCATGAGCCTGGACAGCTGACATGTTCGCATACTCTGGACACATCCAATTTCTTTTCCTATTGGTTTGTGTTCATCCCCCCCGCCCCCTCCATAAATACCTTTCCCTGTCTCAAAGAAAAAAAACAGCAGTGGTTAATCAAGGTGAGGGAGGTCTAGTTTCATGCAAATTCCATCCAAGCTGTGAGGGAAGGAAAAAAAAAATCTTTTCAAACAAATGAATTTTAATGAAGCTTCTCAGGCAAGACGCAATCTTTCAGGCCCAGACTTCCCCGCTGGTCAAGGAGGCAGAGGAGAAAGTGAGTCGGAAGAGGACTGGAGCCATAATGAGCTCGGAGTGGGTGGTGGTGGTGGTGGGGGGGCGTCTGGGGTGACTTCAAGGTCATATTCAGACTTAAGAATTGTCCCCTGAAAGCCCAAACATACTTTCTTTGGCTTTAAGAGGCTCTTTATCAGAGCTGGCTCATTCTGTGCAGAGACACTGGTGGTCTCCTTGTGGGTGGGAGATTCAAATTCAAATAAGCTCCTTCTCGTCATTTTCTGTTCCGCTTGTCCTCATTAGGGTCGCTGGCGAGCTGGAGTCTATGCCGGCCAACGTTGGGCGATGGGCGGGGTACACCCCGGACCCGTTGCCAGCCAGTAGCACCTACAGTGTAACGTTTTACACCTCCAGACAAGTTGGGAGTCCTCTCAGATGGTTTGGGAATGTGGGACAAAGCCAGAGCCTGCATTCGAACCCATAACTGCAGAATTGTGAGGTTAATGTGCTCACCACTCTTGCACCGTGCCTTTCGGCATCGCTCAAACTTTTTACACCGCGTCACAAAATGCTTGGCTCTCCAAGTACCGCCATAGTGACCGACATTCAAATACTGCAATGTCATGTTGCTTAAAAACAAGGCTGCGGTTTTATTCCAAAAAAATTTCCCCATTATTGTAAGCCACAGTAAGACTAGTTTGAACCACTGCGCTCAAAGGAACCCAGGAATGTCAGCAAAAAATTGGCACTTATTTTATCATTCTGTACTTCAAATCAGTAGTAAAAATACTCCCGCAAAATAACACAGTCATGATTTTCAGTTTGTTTTGTCACGGTATTCGGTGGTCTTTATGACGTCTACTTTTGAAGGAAAGAAGGCACGGGCCTGACGCGTTGATGAAGGCGTGTGAATGTCACATCACCAAAGTCAGAAAACAGCTGGTCATTACCTCAGCCCTGAGCAACTATGATGTCATTTTCAGCCGACAGCAAGTGGCAAAATGTACACCCCCTAAAATGGATAAAAGCCGGTGGCTTTTGCGGCGCAACTCATATTACACGAATGCAATTTTCATCAGAATGTTGTTTTTAGAATAGTGGGGGGGGGGGCAAAGAAAATATTAACGTCAAGACAATTTGGATGTACATACAGCGGCCTTGATGGACAAATTGTGTCCATAATGCAGAGCAGAAAGGGGCATCTCGGCAGTACTCAGTTGTGTTTATACTGATTTCTCGAAAACAAATAGATAACGTTCAAAATACAGGGTAGTGCCATTTTGATCAAAAAAAATACATACAAATAGTTTTTGAGTGAAAAATGGGTTATCCTAGCCAGATGATCCCTTTAAATACAGGAAATAGGGGGGAACATTTGAATTATTCGATTGAGAATTGCACGTTAAAGTGAAATAAAGATTCGATTTGCAAATGTACTGGTGTCAAACGTTACATAACAAAGAACTGTACTTAAAATAATACACTGTAGCTGATATAAAAAAGTAAAAGTAAAGAATATCTATTTCGAGTTGGAAATGAAGTGAATAAAATACTTCAATTCTGTTGGAGTCCGCTGTTTCAGACAAAAGTGTTGGGACACCGAGACTCAATAGGATTGTGCAAAACTTCTTGCGAACATTCCCCTGATTGATGAATGAATTGATCAACGCTGGCGACATCTTCCATCCCCGCGGGGTATATTATCAGCCTTGTAAAACGCTGTTGACGTAAATCAAGTTTAAGGGTGCCCGCTGATTACATACTATTTGGGGGAAATCAGATTAGCGCATGGAGCATTTTCCAACGTTTCATTCCTGAAGTGGAGACCAAAGAGAAAGCGGTCCACTTCGGCGTCAAGACATTTTGGCAAGTTTTTTTTTTAATTCTTTCTTTTTTTTCTTAGTTCTTACAGTATGTGACTGTGGAGGCGGGGCGGTTAATGTCCGAGGCAGTTGCACCGAAAATAAACCTGCATGAGGGAAGAGAGAAAGGAGAGGAAGGGAGGAGGACGAGGAGGAAAAGGGAGGGAAAGGGCCCTTCAGCGGGGACACAAGAAAAAAATGGAGCTTCTGCGTGTCACTGGAAAAATAAAACTGCGCAATTTCTTTTTTTTTTTTTTTACCGACTGCCTGCGTGGATCTTCCTGTGTGGAAATGTTCCCGAGCGGATTCTATCGCAGGTTCCGTCAAACACGTCCGCCCGTGGTTCTCTTCGAGCCGCCGATTTTTCCAGCAGATGGTGCCTCGCATCAAGAGGAGGAGAAGAAGCGAGCAGCGGATCATGCCTTGCCCATGGGCCGACACCTTCCCTGCCTGCGCATGTTTGCACCTAGACGCGTCATGGATGTGCATATCGCCACTTGTTCTGCGTCATCCGCGGCCTGGAGGGGAGATGCGCATTCTCCATTAAAACTACCAGGTGAGAAAAATCTAATAGAAGGCAACCTTTTTTTTTTTGTTTTTGTTTTTTGCTGCAGCTCTTATAACACGCCGTGACATTGTTACGGGCCTTTTTGGACATCAACTCACGAGCAGCGTGTGAATGAACGTGTGCGTATGCTAGGATCCACTTCGCAGCCATGTTAAGTTTGACGCACTCGATGCTGCTGATGCCACACTGGGAACAGTTTACGGGAAGGTGAGATGTCGCAATCGACGTTCTCATAAATCAGTGCAGCAGAGTCGTGCCCACGCTGCTAAAGTGACGCACCGGTGGGCAATTTCTGCGCGATTGGATCGTGGCTTTTTCGGGTTGTGTCGTTTTTTTTTGGGGGGGGAGGATGGCTCGGAGTATTTTTTTTCTCATGAAATGTCATGTGGTGAAGTTGTGGCGGGTTCTCTGTGCGATTTCCAGGAAGAGCGTTTGAATGTTCTTCCTCGGGAATGGATGCAGTTGCTTGTCTCCACCCCTCTGCGCGACGATCCTGCTGCATTTCGCCTTCTCCGCCACTGGAGGGCGCCACAGAACTTCAGGAAACTGGTGAGCTGACACAGTTGGGGACACATACAAAATGTTCAATATGATAACAAAAGTGGAATACAAAAAAAACAATGTATCATTTAACCACACACTCAGCCAGTGTGTAGGACGTACCACTCGAGGGGATCACATTGACCCATGTTTGTTCAGAAACGAACACACGGCAGGGTAAAGAAATTCTCTGCATTTCTAGCAGCATAAAATCCACCGCAAATATTCAATTACATAGAAAATCTCATTTTTTTTTTTTTTTTTAGATAAACATTCATTTATTAAAGCTCAGCTGTACCTAATGTTCTGGTGCGTGTGAACTGCATTCCAAGACATTGGTCACTAGATGGAGACACATTCAGACTGGCTCAAATTTATGTTGCCAACGTTATTAGGTAAACTGTGAATTCAATTCAATAATCCAAATCGACGTATTTTCAGGATTTCGCTGCTGCTGACTCCAGCCGTGAATGACAAGTCTGATGGATGTCGGTGAGTTGGCCTCCTATTTTGATATGAGACACCACGCTGTCCTTGTGCATATTCATATTGTCAGCTGCGGTTTCTGCGTTGCGGCGCACCAAGGGGAAGGTTGTGCTGAAGAGCAAAACGATTCAATAATGAAAGCTTTTGTCGTCATAATGATTTCGTGAGTAATTTGAGCGAGGAGCAGCTGAGTCAGGTTGGAGGGGCGTGTGTGTGTGTGTATATGGGAGGGGGGGCGGGGAAATGGCAGGAAGCAGTGGGTGAGGGAAGAGGATGGAGTGGGTGTGTGTGCGCCTCCTCTCCTTCATCCTCATCCTGCTCCTGTCATCCTCCGCATAAGGAGAGGAGGCGTGGCTTACATCTTACATCATCCGCCACCCCGGGTGCTTTGTGAACGCGGTCCTGTTCACTCGCAAAGAACATGAAAATACAGACCTGGAAGAGGGTTTGAATGAGGCTTCCCCACCTGGAGGCTTGTGTAACTTTGCCGACAGCAGAAGGGCAATGAGTTTGTGTGTGTGTTGTCAAAGAATAGTCTGTTTACACCATACATATTCAAACCGTTTGAGTGTGAGTGGCCTACAATTGTCCGACTTTCAACGTGTTGGCATTTTTGTGCCTTACAATTGTCTTGGCAAGTTGGAATTCGCCCCAGACTCTTTATCTTCTACGCAAAAGCTGTGCTGATCTCAAATCCCAAACGATGCAACCCCGCCATCGACAGAGATGTGTTTCTAATGACGGTGGTTTATACACCTGAATTTTACATACAAGCTGGGCCAGAATTGTACTTGAAGGCATATTTGGAAGAGTGTGTCGCGCAAGAAGTCCAAAACGTTGGCCAAAAGAACAAGACGGATCAGTGCAACTCAAATTTCCAGCTCAGCTCCTGATTCGTTGGCTTTCTGCCTCCTCAGATTTCACTCCCCCAGCAAGCTTCACCCCTATTTTGACCTGTGTGTTACCCTCCATCTACCCCCCTTCATCACGCTGCCTCTCCCCCAGGCAAGAGTGCTTTTTGTGCCCCCCCCCTCCCCACAAC